AAAAAAAACATATGCAAGATGTATGGAAGAGCTTCACCGTGTTATTTTTAATGTATGTGAGGCAGTTCTAATATTAGAACAACCTATTAGGTGATCAAAAGTGACCTTACTGCTCAGTGTAAACACAGACAGGTATGTTCTTACAATTGATTACATTTCAACTTGTACTTTTTACAATTATCCAGCAATACTGAGCTTTGCATTAACTAAAATATGAGAACACAGCAAAAATAAATGTATCCAGCAAGATCCTGAAGGGAACAGACATCAGCTCGCTTTTTAGGCTCCCCTTTAGATGCAGATGTGTGTGTGTGTGTGCACATTCCTGCAAGAAAAGTTGATTTTCCAACACTGGTAACAATTTCCTACAATTGTAAATATACTTAAAAAGGAACGCAAACTTATAAAAAGAAATTGACAATGAAAGAAAGCAAGTGTTAATACAAACAAATACAAAGCATTTCAGATATAGAGAGAGATGAGTAGACCGTGTTGGTAGCTTTGCAGTTATAATGGACAATGGCTAATCCAGTGACCCTTATTTTGATTGTGCATATGAAGCATATGTGCTCGTATGGCTGTGAAAGGATTTGAGAGCCAGATTTCTCCATATGCAGTATTTCAGTGTTGGAAAGGAGCCTCTCGTTCTGTTTACCATCTCATCAACCACCTTGCTACCAGCTGACCTGTAACATCCAATTATATTCAACCTGACACTTTTCATTGACACTACTTGTGTGGTCTTGCCAAAGCTAATTGCTATCAGATTTCTCTTCTCCTTGCCCGCACATAACTGCAGTCTTATGTGTTTACAGTAGTTTATAGTTTTACAAGTTTAGAGTAACAGAATCATTCCTGTGTAAAATGCCTCAGACTAAAAATCTCTTCCAGAAATCTGACAGACTTATGAACTGTCCCATGCCAGATTTGTGTATTTCCTGTATTTCCTCTTCAAAGTCTTGTTTCTACTGTCTCAGACACAGTGTTCACTGTGGGTGTCATGTTTTCTTTCTGACTACACCTTTGGCAGCAGGGCAGTGCCTGCAGCACCTCTTTGGGACCCTTATTCATGAATATATAGATGAAAGGGTCCACCAGAGGGCTGAGGTAGAGCAGCAGGTGAGACACTAGCCCCAGATACCTCACCACCTCCGTCAAGGACAGAGCTTCAAGAAGGAGGTTGAGGATGAAAGGGACATAGAGGACAGTGTAGTTGGCCCAGATTGCACTGATACCCACCACTGTCCTTCTCCTCTCTGGTGATGAAGGATTAGATCTGGAGCAATTCAGAGCCCTCCATGAGTCCACAGCAAAGAAGAGGAGAAAGGGGAAAGGAGCAAGGAGAGCCACAGCGAACCAGAAGTTGTACTGTAGCACAGCGAGAGCCAGGATGGCGAATGGAGCAGCCCATGCCACCAAGGCCACTACGGGATGCCTCCTGATACTAGTGCAGCAGGCAAGGCACTGTGGGTAGGCCACCTGGAGATGGCGCTCCTGAGCTATGAACAGCATGAGGGTGATATTGGAGACGACACCAAAATATAAGATGAAGTCGGTGGGATTGGCAGAGAACGTGGACCCGCTGTCCACTTTCTGACTCACACCAGGACGTCCGAAGAAACTGATGATGTCAGAAACCAGGAGGAAGATGACGTGCATGGGAACTTTATTCCCACCTGGAAAACAAACACAGAAATTAAATTAATTGCTGAACTATTGCTATTAAATACTTCACTTGTACTCAGGAAATACTAAAACCTATCATGATGATGACATGTTGTTAGAAACAGGTGCTTATCCATTATTTGCTGATCCAACAGAAGTCCCTGATCACTAGCTGTTGGCTTAACAGTTATACATTTACCAGGCATGACATTATGGCCACGTGTCTAATATTGTGTTGGTCCCCCTTTTGCTGCTAAAACGACTTTGACCTGTTGAGGCATGGACTCAACTAGACACCTGAA